GGTATTACTTACTTGTTAACAAACTAGATCGTTTTTCAAAAATATTTACAAAAAGAACTTCTAGAAAGCGCACAATTTATTGTTGTCGTTTTTTTCTTGAATTAACAAAAAACAAATCATTTGTACTTATTCCGCGATTGGATAATGAAGAAACATAAAAATCACAGAAATAGGTAAAATAAAAACTTGCTTTTTTATGTTTCCAATAGTTTAATAATAAACCTGTACAATTATTTCCACACGTAGTGCTTTTCTTAAGAGTGTATATTTATTAGTACTGGCAATTGTATAAACTAATAGTAGTACTAATTATACATACCTAGGTATATACCTACTCTTAAAAAAAACATCATACCTATTCTGAAACAATTGTAGGTAGTTCTTCATTAAACTATTGGAAACGTAAAAAAACAAGTGTTTATTTTTTTTTCTTTGAAAAAAAAAAAGAAAAATCATTCTCATTAGCAAACTGCTAATTGTTAAATAGATACTTAACTAAATTTTTAATATTTCAGTGCTGTTGAGTTCCTCTTAAAAAAAGGTGCAAATGCAAATATTGTTTTACCTAGAGTAGGAATAGCACCTTTTCATCTTATTATTGGGAGCAACAATGAAGATTTCGCAAAAACTGTAGTGAAACTTATCCTGCAACATGGTGGAAACCCTAATATACAGTTAGTACATTTTCAAATGCTTTTCGTTTTTTCAAGCAAACATGTTTAGCTCACTTGTTAAATGTTTAGCGTTTTCTATATTAATTTAATTATTTAGTTTTATTGATGATTAATGTCAAGCTTTTATTACATCATATGCTTGTAAGATATATATCTACATGCTTGTGTATTTCTATTCAAATTAATGTTTAGTTATTAATATTTTATTTAATTATGATCTGTGGGGTATTAACTCAAATTAATATAAAATGTTGTACCCCTGAAACATTGCTCTCGAAACCAGAACTTTTTGGCTTCTGCGATAATATGCCGTTGATTATTTATTATTTGCTATTTATTAAACTATTTTTTTAAACATTAAGAAATTTTATTTTGAAAGTTCCGGTTAAACAATGTATGATTGCTAAACGTATAGATCAAAGAATAGACAGTGGAAGTCCTAAATACATCTTAAATTTAAAAAATGTGGATACTTATCATGAAAATTTTTGCTGTTTAAATGCTTATCAAAATAAATGTGTTAAGAGCAATTGAAAAATCAATTGTTTTCTCAAAATTCGTTATTGGTTTTAATTTTTGAATTTGCTAGGTCTGATGATGGTTTAACACCCTTACACATAGCTGTGGCTTGGGGTCATTATGAAATAACTGAATTGTTGCTTCATTGTGGAGGAAATCCTTTTATACAGGATAGAAATGGGTTTACAGCATTAGATTATTCAGTTGAATACAAACACTTGAATATTACACAGCTTTTAAATAATTTCATGCCAAACAATATAATATTGTCTTTCGAAGAAGAACAAAGTTTGGCATATGATATAACATTAGGTAAAATAATAATACAGCTCATGCTTGTACCAGGACCAATAGTATATAGTCATTTGATTTTATTTTTGATTAATTTCAGACAAAATTGTTATAAACAATGGATATGCAATTGGAGAGTATAAAACTGCAGAAAAAACATTAGCTGCACATGAGTTCCAAAGTTCAGGAGACATTTTGGATGATCTGCCAGAGTATAAACCGAGCGAGTTTTTAGATGTTTGGTTTGAAGAGCACATATGCAAATTAAGTTTATCGTCTGAAAGCAGTACAAAACGAGATCATTTTTCAAGTGGATCGACATTTTCTGATGAATCTGACAAGCTTATTTCCATAGGTCATTTAATAAATAACGTTAACTTTAGAACACGAAATAAGTTAAATGATAAGCAAAATACTACTGCAATCGTATCTAGTAAGCAAATAACTACAAGAAAGAAAATATACGAGCGTGATGATTTTTGTAAATTTGACGAAAATACTCGGGAAAGTGGAATTGCTACACTTCCCAATCACTCTCTTGAGTACACCGAAAACAGTATTAATCACAGTGATAATTTTAATGGCGATCGCAGTAATTTTATTAGTTGTTTAACCCAAGATTCAGTTAAAATAGCAAAGGATAAAAACAATGATTCTGGCAATGAAATTTTCCAAAATGAAAAAGTTAACGACGATCGAATTTTTTCTGTGCCAAACATAAACCAATCCGAAATTCAAAGAAAAATTCCGGGTAAAAACGCTAGCAGTGACTACTTCAGTTGTAATGATATATCAAGTAACATAAATTCATTCGAAAAGAACATTTTCGAAATTACTTCTGACCTCTCAAATAATTGTAGCCATCCTCGATGTTCAGATGTGCAAATTAGTAATTTTTCTATGGAAATTACAAATTTAGATAAGAACTACATCACAAACGTACCATGTCAAGTATCTGAAAGTGTGATTCTCGAGCCTGAAGAATCATTTGTGAGTGTGTCTGAAGTTTATAAATATACTGATAAAGAAGATGGCATTGTATTATATGAGAAGAGGTTAAAAGGAAATTCCATCAGGTAAGTGTTGTTTAATTTACAAAAACAAAGTCATACATAACTATATATACAATAGTACATAGTACCTATGCTGCAATTCTGCGATTCACTTTCTTCAATTTAACAAAAACAAATTTCATAATTACTGCACGGCATTTCCTTTAAATGTTGTGAAACAACTAATATAATGGTATTACTCATTTTTATTCTTTCGACTACTACTGAGAATTATTTGCTTTCATTGTTAATTTTAATAACCTCGGTCAATATTTTAGTAGTGTATATATGACTAGTGGTAGAAATATTGTATTAATTTCCAAATTGGTGAAATATATACTTAACTGTTTACTTATGAAAACTAAATCTAATTACGGATTCTGTAAATTAATTTATAAATAGATCAGAAAACGTTCCCCTTTGCATTTCTATTTCAAGGTCAAGAGAGGTCGATAAAATGCGCTTATCGTAAGTGATATAGATATTGGCTATACCATAAATATATGTCAAATATATATCTTTTGTTAAAATATCTTATTACGGACTGTTTATTTCATATACTAGAATTACTATTAGTTGACAAATATAAAGAGTTTGTTTTAATTTAGGGGTTCAAGCGAAAGTGAAAAATCAATGGCAGCAACGCATTCGTCTAAATTATCTTCCTTACCGGCCAGCATTGATTATGATAGTGATCGTCTTCGTAAGGAATTGCAATGTAGTGGTTTTAATCCAGGACCAATAACTGCTACTACAAAACGACTGTATTTACGAAAGTTGCTACGATTAAAAAAAGAACAAAGCCAATTAATATCATCATTTGAGGGAAAAGACAAAGGTAAATAAAATATTTTTAACAGCATATTGCATTTACTTTTAATTATTCTTTACTAATAATTTCTAATCTTGCTGGGAAATTACAAACAAAATTGTTGCGTACTATACACTAAATAAACTAACCTTTGCGCCGCTCTCGTGGCAAACTTCGTTACTACAATTATGACATTTGAAATTTCAATTTATTTTTTATAAATACTCATTCTAAGTAAACAAAAATCCTTTTTTGCGTTATTAAGAAACTGTTTTAAGTAAATTTTATGCGATTATAAAAGTTTCCTATAGAGAAATGATGATTAAACTGCGTTTCTCTGTTTTTTTTTTTTTAATACGATGAAGATGTAGAAGTGACTGCCACATAGTTTGCTTTGTATTTTTATGCGATTAACAAGCATTGTAAGAATACTAGATGGGTGACATTATTATTGTGACCTGTTTTACATATTTCGAAAATTGATGCAGAATACTTTCTGCAGCACTTCTCTGTCCTCACATCTTAAGCATCACAGAGAATTCAGAATGCTCCTCCCCATTGATACGACGATAAATTTAGTTTCTGTAATCGGTCGACAGATAGGTACCCTAGGCTCGGCACTGGTCCCATTTGACATTTTTTTTTACCATTTCTGATTATTAAAGTATTTTTAAATTTAAACATTTATTAAAAAATTAAACCGTTTCGTTCCCTGTACGAATAAATCAACCAATAAGTACGTGTTCCACAGTAGTTATCTCCTTTAGATCATTCCAGTTTGATATTGTCACATCCAAACAACCTCGCGAAAGCGTTTACATTTTATTTAATGTCAAATGTGGTTTTGACATTGCTTTTAATTTAGTTTATTGAAATTTTTTATTTTAAGAATCTTTAGGGAGTTAACAAAATTACTTTTAGACGGAAGATGACACTTTTTATTAGGAAGATAATTTTGAGGAGTCATACACTTAATATTTACAGACGTATGTACCACTATAAATTTTTGCACACGAAAATAATGTTATTTTACTCATTTTTACCTTCCTTAGTCCTAAGCTATGTTATTAGTTAGTACTCTCGAAATTACAATATCATTAGGTAACCTACGACTTTCTAACCATTTTATTTTTTTACAATTAAAAACGTTAAAAAAGCAACTAATCGATTTATTTTGATGCGGCGTAATGCGTAAAAGTATCAGTTATATAAAAAAAAGTTCTAAAGTTCTTAAATATACATACAAGTACATATGTTTTCCAAATACTTTTATTTCAAAAACATAGCATGTTTGGAAAGCATTATCCAATTTAAATGATTTTGTTTCCTTTATTTAGTAGTAGGTAAAATCAATGAATGTAAGTGATATTATCACGAAATAGATGTTGGGTATATACTTTTTTTTATATTTGTTGTATAACATTTACGAATTATCCTGTGTGGCTTGTATTTATTTAATTGGACTAAAAGTCAATTTGACGATTTGAAGACACCATTTTCCATAGTCTAAAATTGTACTATAAATATGGTATTTATCTATTTATTTTTGGCTTCATAATCAAACATGAAGATGAACTGTAAAGAAATTATATTTATCATTTTATGTTAATTCAAATAAATACTAACTTTTGAAATATGTTACATCTACTGCGTCATATTCTGCGTAAAAACATGGTCAGTAACATCTATTTCATTTATTAAAGAAAGGCCGTAATCAAAGTTCATATACGTTTATCAGGGAACTTAATACTTGCTTGCATTTAAAATTAATTATAAAAAATTGTCAGTCAACAATTCATCTTTTGAAGGTTTGAATAATTTGTTTTCTATTATTAGTTAAAAAAAGTACTTCAAAGTTGATATTGTGTTTTTAACATCATTAACGTCTGCCCATCTATTTATAATGCATTAATATTTTGATAGGTCTTTTATATGTATAAGCTTTCATTGTTGCTGTTTACATATTTTATAAAAATAAAGCCTTGGCAAACGTAAGCTTACATATGATGACTGTTTTAATTTAACACATATTGTACGCAAGTAGATGTTTATTTTTAATATAATTACTATAGCTGATAGCAATAACATTGGTATATAGCATGCTTGTTTATATTGTAGTTGTGTAGTAGAGTAGAACGAATACAAGGTAATCCATTCATCTCTTTTACAAAATAATAAACGATTGTCACTATAATATTGTATTCATGGTCTTATCGTCTCTTGTTATACATTATTCTAATTCTGGAAACGAAGATTAATTGTAAGCTAAAAATAAAAATATCGAATCAATAGCAATACAGTGTTTACAAATATTTGTTTAAATTTGATTATGCATTTTTATATAACTAATAACGAAATTACTAAATTTGTAATAATTGAGTAATTCTTGATATTCGGGGTTGATGGCCTTGGTCTAGGATTGTTTCTCTTTTGGTTAGAGCATGTGATTAGCATTATTTGAATGACTAACTCTTTATTTATTTATAAGGGAGCCCTTTTAAATGCAATAAATACCTATAACGAACGGCTTAAGCACCTCCAGGTGTTATAAAATGTATAGTAGTTCTACTAATCGTTAGAGTATGAAAAGATNTACGTATTTGTGTTAAGAAACCCTTTTTGATTTAAAAAAAATTTTATTTTTAGTTTTCTCATCAGAATTGGAAAAGACTTTAAGAAGTGAAAATTGGTCTCAAGACCTTACTTCCTACAAGCTTCTCGACGCAAGCGTTTCGGACCAATTCAGTTGTACTGACCACAAGCGAACTTGGCGTGAAGGGCATAATAAATCTTCCTTCACTTACTTACTTTTAGACCCTCGCTTAACCAACAATCTTCCTTGCCGTTCAGAGACTTTATCACCCCAAGAAATATGGAGGTCATTTTTGTCGTCCATATTTTACGTTGGAAAGGGAAAAAGATCACGACCATATTCACATTTGTATGAAGCAGCTCATCAGTGGAATTTAGGGAATTACATCAGTAAAAACAAGAAAATACAACGAATTATTGACATATGGAAGGCAAATAGAGGGGTTGTATGTTTACATTTATTCCAGAATGTTATTCCTGTGGAAGCATATACAAGGGAGGCTGCTATGATAAGTGCGCTTGGATTAAGTAATTTAGAAAATAATAAAGGTGGAGAATTTTATGGTGTCGCAGCAACGTGGTCAACGCAAAAGAAGGAGATGTACGGTGTTTTCCTTTTGCATAAAGCTTTAAGTATATTTTTACACGAAGGTGAACGTCAATTAAGCCCCAAAGATATTGACTGATATGCGCCTTTTATCTTGTAAAGTAGGACATTTGATGCCAAAAACAAAATGCCCCAAATCAAAGATTGATCTAGTCGATATATCAGTATAGAATTGTGTGCTAGATAAAATTATTTGTTTGTTTTGTAAATAAACTTTTTATACAGGATGAACTAACAATGTTAATGATGATTGAAACGCATACGCTGTTGCTCTACATTGACTTAATCACAATTTGTTTATTAAGTATATTTTTATTTTTGAAATCTGACGGAAGGGGAAAGACTTAACGTAGTAATAGTAATTCCAATATAAATTTTATTTGTTTACTTTGTACGTTAAAAATGACATATTGACAAACCAAATGTACAAGATAATCTGATCTATATAAACATTTTAACTAAAATGGCAACTTGATTTTTAATATATTGTAAATTATTGCCTTTAAATTGTGATATTCATTGTATTTTATATACAATTAATTGTAAGCTAAAAATAAAAATATCGAATCAATAGCAATACAGTGTTTACAAATATTTGTTTAAATTTGATTATGCATTTTTATATAACTAATAACGAAATTACTAAATTTGTAATAATTGAGTAATTCTTGATATTCGGGGTTGATGGCCTTGGTCTAGGATTGTTTCTCTTTTGGTTAGAGCATGTGATTAGCATTATTTGAATGACTAACTCTTTATTTATTTATAAGGGAGCCCTTTTAAATGCAATAAATACCTATAACGAACGGCTTAAGCACCTCCAGGTGTTATAAAATGTATAGTAGTTCTACTAATCGTTAGAGTATGAAAAGATCTTTTGTCTCAATTGTCACTTGATTGTGGAGAAAGTTCATAAAATCAACACTAAATTTTTAGTTTCCAAAGCAGTTGGTGGATAATCTCAGGATTTTATAGTCTAAGAACTAGCTACAAAATGCGAACTGATCGAATATAGTTTTTGTATAGATAGTAGTCATTTCGCAGAAGTTATTGCTGTTGCATTTAAGACGGAAGAAGGGGTAATCCTGCATTCATTTCCGCAAATAAAAAAATGATCGATTATGATTCTACAAATGGCTATATTGTTTCATTTATAGCTAATGAAATTTTTAAAAATATTTGCAGAAATATGTGTGACAAAAAATTAAAACTATATTCGATGAGTTTGCATTTTTGTAGTCAGCTGTGTCTATTAGAGATTATAAAGTTATTATATTTCGGTCCTGTTGTCTTACTCAGACTAGGTACTAACATTGATTTATAAGTTGTTTTTTAATGTTAAATAAATATAAGTTCAGGTATACAAATTATTGAATTGAGGGTACCTATTTGAAATTTATAATAATTATAAAAAACAATCGGTAATTAGAATAAATNATTGTTTTGCTTCCTACAACTAGATGGCACTGAATATTACGATTCTTCCTGTATTACATACGATTGCATATGCATAAAATAATCTATTCTAAAACAATAGCCGAAGCAACTCAATTCTTTTGATTTTGTTATAACACCGTTTTTATTCCTTCAAATCTTTTCTGACACTATGCCTTTGTTAAAGTGCCTCCAAATAAAAGGCCTAGGTTGGATTTTGTAAAAAAAAGGATTATAGCTGTTCCGACCAGGCCAAGAGAAATAAAGTCATCGGATAAGTCTACTGAATTTTCTGCAAACGCAAAATACCGCATAAATGTATTTGGGTGATTCCATGAAAATAGGGCAACTTTATGATGTAATTAGTCTTTACTATTTTTTACATACTGTGCAATTTTAAATTAGTGTGTTTTGTGACTGATCGATAGAATAATTATTGTTCAAAAGGGCCAGACGCTTTGTTTAGTATTTTAAGAGAAATTCAGGTTTTTGTAAATTTAGACGTCTAGGGACTGACACATATAGCTACGGACTGATGAAAATTATGCTGATATACTGTAATATAAGATTTTTTAAGGCAATTAGTGTAATAAAATAAGACTCCTACACAGGCATAGGTTCACTTTTATTAAGAACGTATTTTAGACAGTATCATTATTAATTAACTTAAAAAATGTTAATCAAGTGTAGCTTTAGCTAAAATTCTTTAACTTTTTAATTTTTATTTGTTTGTAAAAACTAATAGTGCCATTCGAAAGAATGCGAAATTTTAGGAAAGTAAATAAAAAACAAGGTGCGACCCAAGAGTTCCCGGACTGATGCTATAACACGAAAATATGTTGTCCCTGTCGATGGGTGGGGGTAGGTTGATGTAAATCTTTTGATATCAAAAAAAAATACAACGTGTAATTATACAACACTCTACTGAAGTGAAACTGCTTCAGACACATAAACATACCGGGATAGGGATTAACGAATTGGTTTAATGGTATAATTTGTACACTATGAATTTAAATTTTACACTCTACATGCCGAAGGTGCCTGTAACCAACGTTGCACTGAAGCACGCTCACGGCTCAAGCGATCCTCACTACGAACTCGACCACGTGGCCGAGTAGAGGGGGGACATCCGTTGCATGATTTCGTTACATAGCAACTCGCATGAAACAAACTTACCCCACCGGGCGCAATGAAGTTTCACTTCAAAAAATATTTACTCCATTTTGATTACAATTTTTTACACATTGTAACACGAGAAAAAAAGTAGCATTCATAGTATCTTCAGCTTTACGTTCATCTATTAAGTAAAGTTTTTGAAATAATTTTTTAAGGCTGATGTCATCTATTAGCACACCAAATAATCTTGCAGGAAAGTCACGGTTTTCACGGTAGGCGGATATCAATTCGATATTGTAATGTTCGTGGGTTTAACAAATTAAACTTTTAAGACTCACAACGACAAAAATTATTTATTTACACTAATTATTATTGGACCTAAAAACACAATTAAATTATAACTAACTTGGGTGATAAATTACTCTATTTATTTACAGTACTATTACTAAATCACTATTCACTGCGCTGTCAATTTATTTCTAGATTCACTTCTGCAACGGTCAATTTATTTTTCCTCCACTTCGGCGATCGTCTCTTCCTGTTTATACTCCCTTGCCTCCTTTCGGGAACATTCTCCAGCCGTCCAGAGAAGTCTCGTTTTCTTTGAACGGTTTAATTGCTTTCCCGGAACGCAGGTACGACACACACGTTTACAGATACAGCGCATATGAAGAAAGCGCCCGCGGCTAGTCGGCGAATCGATAAGCTGCTCACACACACGTTTGCCTGATCGCACACAATCACGCTCGTGGTCTCTAGAATATTAAGGCAGAAACAGTCCAGAAAATAATATCTAATCGATAATACTTTCGATTATCAATTTTCAAGGAATTTTTTGCGCTCTCTTCAGTTGAAGTATTAGAAGGCTTCCATAAAATGTCTCTGTTTTCTTCAATAACCAACGTGAGCAATATTTATTTATTTTGTGTAATGCATAATTGGTGATGTTAATAGCAAATTGTCTGGAAAAGTATTTTAAGTAAAATACGAATTAAATAGGTATTTTATATTTGCATTTTAGTGGAGTGTTGTTAGTCGAAAAAAGTGAAAAACCTCGGACGAAAACACCAGTGAATAGATTTTAATGGCGTTTTTAGCATTGTATTAATTAAACCTAATAATAAAATGTTTATTGATTAGAATTTTTCGATCCATGTTTATTTAATAGTTTATTGCAAAATTCCAAAAACAATTGTAAATTAATGATTAATATGTCAAGTATCTGCAATAATTTTAATCATATACATGAAGAAATATTGTATTTGTATTTTTGAGGGTTGGTAAGTATTAATTAAAGGTCGAATATTGCAAAATTTATAACAAAGGGAACCAAAACAGGGGCCAGAAACTTAGTAATCAAGTATACAATTAATACAAAAAACTTTATATTGTTATACAAATATATTTACTTATGAAAAACAGTTATTTAATACGCTAATGAGCAATACACAAATTGATGTGTTTTATTTATTATTTTGAAATCAATACAGTGTTTTTTAAGCCTTTCGACATTGGGTCAAGAAAATCTGGTTACTCTATCTTGTAGTGCGGTAATTATCACATAATATTAGATATAACTTTCAAATTTCATTTGTAAAAAAAAAATACAACGTAAACTGTATCATCTAAAATTTGTGTTGTAGGAATTAAATTCAAGTATCGAGGATTATGTAAAACGGGAAATTGAAATTTATAAATATTCTACTACTCTTAGTGTTCGTTGATTAAGTATATAAAATAAGAAGTTTATGACAAACTGCAGGTCGTATGTTACATCATATTAAAAAAGCGGGTACCCAATCATGCTATGACTTAAAAAATGTGTTTATCAGTTATTGAGCATATTGCCAATAATAACAGGTCAAAACAATAATGGTAAAGTTTCCAAAACAGATACAATATTGTGAAAAATATCTTATGCCTTTTTCGATTTCGAGATATATTAAAAAACGCGTTTTATAGTAAATGAAATTCTACAAATGGCGCGGTAAACGCCATCTGTAGTACAATGCTATATTTGGTGGAATTCAATCGAGATCCGCGTCTGGCAATTTTGACAGACTGACCATTTCAAATTTATTTGTTCTATTTTGGTAACGTGCCTATCACGTAGTGGTGAGCTACGCCTGGATTCAGTTCAGCAAGTAGATATCCATCTATTTAAATGGACTTTGTTGAGCATATTCAATTCCTCCAAACCTAGCATTATACTACAGATGGTGTTTACCGCGCCATTTCTAGGATTTCCTAAAATGCGCTGTGGTAAAGTAAAGGTAAAGTTGGTTTGTGTTCTACTCCCTTCTTCCCTCCTCACTCGACGCTTTCCCCATCTGAACCCCCTTTCCCAATCCTAACCTTCCATTTTCTTTCTGGGGATGAGCAACACTCAGGGTTTATCTTCCCAATCGAGGAAGGATTTTAGTCGATAAAAATCCGACAGGAGGTGTTTTTTGAAGATTTCCCCCTCGAGAATAATCTTAACAAAAAAGGTCTGTGTTTTGTCGAAACTGTCGTCGAAGCACTGATGAGATCCAACAAGATCGAAATCGCGATCCGCGTTTAGCAGTTTCGACAGAATACACTGACCACTTCGAATATCTTTGGTTTATAGTAAATGTTTGTATTCCTAAATTACAAAATACTGGAATATAGGCGTTTTTCTTAAGTTAGGTTTACATTTGATTATAGATTTGTCGAATTGATAATGATAGTCCAATAATTGTAACAAATAAAATTTAACGTGTAATTATACAACAAGGTACTGAAGTGAAACTTCTTCAAACACACAAACATACCGAGATCCCTATTAAGGAATTGGTTTAATGGTATAATTTGTAAACTATGAATTTAAATTTTACACTATGCATGCCGGAGTTACCTGTAACGAAGCGGCTCAAGCGATCCCCACTACGAACTGGACTACGTGGCCGAGTAGGGGGGGGACATCCGTTGCATGATTTCGTTACTTAGCAACTCGCATGAAAAGAACTTACCCTACAATTTCTTCTCTCCTTTGAGAAGCCAGAAGGAGAAAATAGTGTGAACGAGATAAGAGGAATCAAATTTTGGGGGTAGTGGGCGAAGATAGTTTGATAAATTGACGTTTGTCAAAGGGCATGAATAGAGCAATAAAGCAATAGATAAGGACATGAAATTTATGAGTAGCGGAATTAGTCAAGACATGACCATAAAAAGCATTCTATCTTAACAATTTTAAACGATCGTGATGAAAACGGATAATTGTCATGAAAAATTAATGATAGTTTAAAAAACGCGTGACGGACGCAACAGTAAAATTAATTGTAATGATAAAATTTTTTGGATTCTTCTTCGCTCTGTTGACTGAAATATCGCAGTATAGTTGTCACTGTGGTTCTAGTTTTATTTACTTTAACTCGTTTCTTGCTTCTGTATCTGTAATATTCATTTCTAATATAAAAATATCAGATTTGCAATTTGTTTTGTTTAAGATAGAGCCATGCAGTCATACTTCAAGTGGTCTGATTGGATAATTGGATTTTTATGTCTTTTAAGGTTTTGTGATAGCTTAAATAATGGCTTAGCACTAACACCACCAATGGGATGGATGAGCTGGCAGCGGTATCGTTGTAACGTGGATTGTTATAATTATCCTAACGATTGCTTAAGGTGCGAATTCAAACAGTTCATTTACATGATTTTATGAACTTTTCAATTTCTCTATTACCGTTTTACAGTGAAATGTTAATAAAACGCATAGCAGATCTTATGGTTTCGGAAGGGTATAAAGATGCTGGTTACGAATATCTGATAATAGATGATTGCTGGCTTAATAAGACTAGAGGAAGAAATGGTGAATTGTTGGAGGATGCTGAAAGATTCCCGAGTGGCATGAAAAATTTAAGCAATTATGTAAGACCAACTAATAAATCATAAAAAATAAATGGGACAAGATGTTAAATATACTTAAAAATGTAAGGATGAGTTACAAAGATAGAACAGTGATACTTAGTTTGTATAAAGAGCAACAGGCAGTTATAGAGCTAGGGATGCAACGTAGAGAAGTAAATATTAGGAAGGGAGTCAGACAAGGATGCACACTGTCACCAATACTTTTTATTCTACATCAACCATCAACATCATTAAAGACAGTATAACTGTAGGGTTAGATATATAGAGGCAAAAAATTAGTATGCTTAGATTTGCAGATGATATAGCAGTATTAGCATCTAGCAAGGAGGACCTAGAGATAGCTTTAAATAAAATGGAAGCGCTACTGATAGATCAGTTCGGTATGAAAATAAATGAAAGTAAAATTAAAATACTGGTATGCAAGGGAAGAAAAAGTAGGGAAAGAACGAATATAAAGATAGGAGACGAAAAATTAGAAGAAGTGGCCGATTTTAGATACCTAGGAAGTCAGATAAGTCAGGATGGAAGGA